GCATGGCGTAGTGCGGGTAACAAGCCTGGGGTCTGGCCAGACAAGCTAATGAATGATTGTCATTGTGTGACACTGGGACCAGAGGGAACATCAGAGGTAATGTGGCCCCCAGATGTGAACTTTACAGAGGAGGAAATGGGAGAGGCCACTGTGAGTTTTCTCTGTGTGCATGGGATCAAGAGCTGAGCTTGGGTGGGTGGGTGGCACGACATAGAGAAGACAAGGCTTCCAAACCTTGGCTTCTTCCTCCACCCGATGCCTAGAACAGCTCCCCCCACCTGTGCCCCGGGCCCCTCTCTCCTGGGCCAGGAAGGCAGGCAGACGCTGGCAGCCCACGCTGCTCAGCCCTGAGAGTAACGGGATGTCTGTGCCAGGCACTCAGCCCAGGGCCTGGCATGACCAACGGGGGCTGCTGTCAGCAGGACTCCCGGCCCTGCCTGAGACAGGGGCATGGACAGACAGCCTGGCCAGGAGTCCAGGGGCTATGTGCAAGGGCCTCGGTGGGAGCGGTGATGGGAAGGGATGGTTGCCTGGTTACCAAAAATCTTAAGGGAGCTCACCTAGCTGAGCTGCAGACTCACAACCTCACAGGCCGCCTTCCCAGGGTGGCAGGAGGGTCCCCATCCCACCACCACCACCACCACCGGAGGTTTCCAGTCCAGCCTTCAGCACCCAGGACACAGGGGCGTAGGCTGGACCCTGGGCTGGAGGAGGAAAGAGACTTTAGGTCAATCGGGAGCTTGACTGCCTGAAAGTGGGACACTTCTAGGGTGCTCACCAGGTATCCAGCCCCTCTCCACCCCTCCCGCACCCGCACACACGTGCACACACGCACACCCACAGCTTGTCTGCGTGCACACACCTGTTCTTAACTGTAATCTGTCTGGTTTATAGCCTTTCCCTCTTTTCCTTTTATGCTGCTGGTCATTACTTATTAATTTCCGGTTTTAACTTAAAACCTTAAAAAAAAAAAAGATTTTATGTATTTATTTGAGAGCGAGAGCATGAGCAGAGGAGAAGGACAGAGGGAGAGAGAGAAGCAGACGCCCCGTGAGCCCGATGTGGGTCTCGATCCCAGGACCCTGAGCTGAAGGCAGAACTTAACCAACTGAGCCACCCAAGTGCCCCTTAAAACCTTTAAGTGATTTCAAACTTGAAGTAAAATTGCAAGAATAGCTACAAAGAACTTCTATAACCCGTTACCCAGAATCACTAACTTTTAAACCCTTTCCACGTGTTTGACAATTCTCTTCTCTCAGTGCGTACAGGCGCCCCCCCCCACCCCTTGTCTTTTTCTGAACCATGTGAAATGATTAGGTATCCTGGAGAATAAGAACATTCTCTTACATAAATGGTAACAAATGATCAAATCCAAAAAATGTAATATTGTACAATGCTTGAAGCTATTAAGATCGTGCTCTAATGTTGCCAACTGCCCCACGAATGTCCTTCATGGTCTTTCTTTTCTTTCTTTCTTTCTTTCTTTCTTTCTTTCTTTCTTTCTTTCTTTCTTTCTTTCTTTCTTCCTTCCTTCCTTCCTTCCTTCCTTCCTT